AGACTGTCCTCAGTTCTTTTCATTCTTTTTTCTTCATTCTGCTCTGCAGTAGTTATTTCCACTATTTTATATTCCAGGTCATTTATCCTTTCTTGTGCCTCAGTTATTCTGCTATTGATCCATTCTAGAGAATTTTTAATTTCATTTATTGTGGTGTTCATGGTTGTTTGTTTGCTCTTTAGTTCTTCTAGGTCCATGTTAAACGTTTTTTGTATTTTCTGCATTCTATTTCCAAGATTTTGGATCATCTTTACTATCATTATTCTGAATTCTTTTTCAGGTAGACTGCCTATTTCCTCTTCATTTGTTAGGTCTGGTGGATTTTTACCTTGCTCTTTCATGTGCTGTGTGTTTCTTTGTCTTCTCATTTTGCTTAACTTACTGTGTTTTGGGTCTCCTTTTCACAGGCTGCAGGTTCATAGTTCCTGTTGTTTTTGTTGTCTGCCCCCAGTGGCCAAGGTTGGTTCAGTGGGTTGTGTAGGCTTCCTGGTGAAGGGGACTAGTGCCTGTGTTCTGGTGGATGAGGCTAGATCTTGTCTTTCTGGTGGGCAGGTCCACGTCTGGTGGTGTGTTTTGGGGTGTCTTTGACCTTATTATGATTTTAGGCAGCCTCTCTGCTAATGGGTGGGGTTGTGTTCCTGACTTGCTAGTTGTTTGGCATATGGTGTCCAGCACTGTAGGTTGCTGGTCGTTGAGTGGAGCTGGGTCTTGGCGTTGAGTTGGAGATCTCTGGCAGATACTCGCCTTTTGATATTATGTGCAGCTGGGAGGTCTCTGTTGGACCTTGGCTCTCCCCCCCTCAGAGGCACAGCCCTGACACCTGGCTGGAGTACCAAGAGTGTGTCATCCACATGGCTCAGAATAAAAGGGAGAAAAAAGGAAAGAAAGAGAGAAAAAGATAAAATAAAATTAAAAAGTTATTAAAATAAAAGCAAAAAGTAATTATTAAAAAATTTTTTGAAAGTAATTAAAAAAAGGAAGAAAGAAGAGAACAACCAAACCAAAAAACAAATCCACCGATAACAAGCACTGAAAATTATACTAAAAAACAAAAACAAAAACAAAAAACGTACAGACAGAACCCTAGGACAGATGGTTAAAGCAAAGCTATATAGACAAAATCACACACAGAAGCATATACATACAGACTCACAAAAAGAGAAAAAGGGAAAAAAAATATATCGTCGCTCCCAAAGTCCACCTCCTCAATTTGGGATGATTCCTTGTCTATTCAGGTGTTCCACATATGCAGGGTACATCAAGTTGATGGTGGCATTTTAATCTGCTGCTCCTGAGGCTGCTGGGTGAGATTTCCCTTTCTCTTCTTTGTTTGCACAGCTGCTGGGCTTCAGCTTTGGATTTGGCTGCGCCTCTGCGTGTAGGTCGCCTGTGGGCGTGTGTTCTTTGCTCAGACAGGACAGGGTTAAAGGAGCAGCTGATTCGGGGGCTCTGCCTCACTCAGGCCGGGGCGAGGGAGGGTTACGGAGTTCGGGGCGGGCCTATGGCGGTAGAGGCCAGTGTGACGTTGCACCAGCCTGAGGCGTGTCGTGCGCCGGAGAAGTTGTCCCTGGATCACAGGACCCTGGCAGTGGCGGGCTGTACAGGCTCCCCGGAAGAGGGGGTATGGATAGTGACCTGTGCTCGCACACAGGCTTCTTGGTGGCGGCAGCAGCAGCCTTAGCGTCTCATGCCCGTCTCTGGGGTCCGCGCTGATAGCCGCCGCTTGCGCCCATCTCTGGAGCTCCTTTAAGCGGCACTCTTAATCCCCTCTCCTGGTGCACCAGGAAACAAAGAGGCAAGAAAAAGTCTCTTGCCTCTTAGGCAGGTCCCGACTTTTTCCCAAACTCCCTCCCGGCTGGCTGTGACGCACTAGCCCCTTCAGGCTGTGTTCACGCAGCCAACCCCTGTCCTCTCCCTGGGATCCAACCGAAGCTGGAGCCTCAGCTCCCAGCCCTCGCCCGTCCCGGCGGGTGAGCAGACAAGCCTCTCGGGCTGGTGCGTGCTGGTTGGCACGGATCCTCTGTGGGGGAATCTTTCCACTTTGCCCTCCGCACCCCCGTTACTGCACTTTCCTCCGTGGCTCCGAAGCTTACCCCCGCTCCTCCACCCGCAGTCTCCACCCGCAAAGGGGCTTCCTAGTGTGTGGAAACGTTTCCTCCTTCACAGCTCCCTCCCACTGGTGCAGGTCCCGTCCCTATTCTTTTGTCTGTGTTCTTTCTTTTTTCTTTTGCCCTACCCAGGTACGTGGGGAGTGTCTTGCCTTTGGGGAGGTCTGAGGTCTTCTGCCAGCATTCAGTAGGTGTTCTGTAGGAGGTGTTCCACATGTAGATGTATTTCTGATGTATTTGTGTGGAGGAAGGTGATCTCCACGTCTTACTCGTCCGCCATCTTGAAGCTCCTCCCTGGCTGTGTGATTTTTAATCAGTTTTTATACCCTGAGTTTCATGTCTTCACTTGACATGCATGTCCAGTTTTTTTGTGTGTGTATTTGGAGCACCTAGGAGGTAGACAGCCAGCAGTTAAGAGGGGAAAATCTGTCAATAAGAAGGATCATCATGCATCCTTCAAGAAATATACAATTTGTATGATTATTTACAAAAGAGTGGAAAATTATAGCTGAGCAAAAACTTGTATTTGAGATGACATTATTAGAGCAATGTCATGTATATATAGTGGCCTTGTCTTGTATATATAGTGGCCAAAAACGGGCCTCTCTGAAGGAAATAAAGGAGTAAGCTGTGAGGAAATCTGGGAGAAGTAACATTATATCGGGAGTGAAGTGAGTGTGTACCTGGAGCACTCAAAGAACATCACAGAGGCCAGTTGTGGCTGGAGCAGAGTAAAGTAATAAGAGGAAAAGTAGTAGGAAATAAGGTTGTAGCAATAGAATGCAGGCCAATTCATATAGAGCCAGAATCAGGACTTTGTAAACCGGAATCAGGACTTTGGAAAACCATCAGCATTTTAGGCATGTGAAAGATCTGCCATGTTTTAAGATCATTGGCAGCTGTGAAAAGAATAGATCATAGGGAAGAAAGAACATGAAAGGGAGAACATAGGAGGTTATTATTAGTCAAGTTGAGTGTCTTGGACAAGTATTGTAGCAGTGGTTGTAGGTAATAAGTGGAAATATTTTGACAGTTTTTGAAGGTAGAGCTGACACCTTTTATTAATGGGTTGGATATAGGATGTGAGAGAGAGTGACCAAGTTTTTTGTCCTAAGCAGCTGCAAGAGTGGAATTTTCATATATTGTCATATGGTGAAGACTGAGGAAAGAACATATTTTGGGGGGCAGGGAGGTAGGGAAGAAATCCAGAATTCAGTTTTGTCCATGTTGGTTTGAGATGCATATTAGACATCAAGTAGTGATATCAAGTAGGTAGTTGGATAGATGATACTTAAAGCGGTGAAATGAAAAGGTAACCTCGGGAGGGATTATAGATAGAGAAAAGATTTCTGGGTACTGGATTCTGGAGAACTTTTTTTCTGTCCTCTTGACTTGGTATCTCTTTCTTGCCCACGTTTTCTCTTTTTCTTCCTCTTCTTTGAGCAAATATGAGTGAATTTAAGTTGCCTGTACCTCCAAGAATGCATCACACTTCTAAAATAGTCTTAAGATGCACCTAAAATACAATACAAACATATTATATTTATATATTGCTTTGAACTTTGAAAAGAACTTTTATTTATGAAACGCTTGCTGTGTGCCAGTACTGTGCTAGGTACTTCCCAGTGTATTATCTGTTCGAATTTTATAAATGATTGATTGTATTTAAATGGAAATAGTGATGTATCTGGCAGATCGTAGCTTTAGAGAAAACATTCTTTTGTATTTATATGTTGTTTCAGTTTATATATATGTTTGCATATACATATATAATTTTTAAATTAATGAGAGCATAAATATCAATATTGTAGTTGATATTGTGTAGTAGAAAGAACACTGGATTAGGTGTCTGGCAGTTGTCACTGAATAGCTATGGGAAAGTGATTTGGATTTTTCTTGGGTCCTGTTTCCCATCTGTGGAATAATAACAGGATTAAGTTTGAGGAGGGACTTAGTCAAGGGGTCTCAGCCAGTAAGTGGATTGGGAATAGTTGTTTTTATTTATGCTTCCATATCCACACTGTGCAATGTTGTAGCCACTAGCTGTATGTGGCTATTTAACCTTAAATTAATTAAAATTTAAAATTTGTTTGCTCAGTTGCACTTGGCACATTTCAGGTGCTCATTAACCACATATGTCTAGTTGATACTGTATTGGGTAGTGCAGCTCTAGAACGTTTTCATCATTGAAGAAAGTTTTATTAGACAACACTGCTTTATACAACCATTGCTATAACAACTTTCTCTGAAATCTGTGGTTGGCTATTTGAATTTATTTTTCCAACTTGTCAACCAACTAGAAATAGCAAAAATTAAAAAGAATTTACTCTTTTATAGGATAAAAATGTAGTATAGTTCATTTTCACAGTATCATGTGTCTAAGTACTTTAAAATTATAATTAAAAGAGCTTTCATCCCTGGTGGCACAGTGGTTGAGAGTCCGCCTGCGGATACGGGGGATGCAGGTTTGTGCCCTGGTCCTGGAGGATCCCATGTGCCGTGGAGCGGCTGGGCCCGTGAGCCATGGCCGCTGAGCCTGCGCGTCCGGAGCCTGTGCTCCGCGGCGGGAGAGGCCACGGCAGTGAGAGGCCCGCGTACCGCAAAAAAAAAAAAAAAGAGCTTTCATAGCACTATTGAGAGAACTTTAATTAGAATCTATTGATGCAACTTTCATGTTCAATTTCTGGATAGTAACAGACATTTTTGAAACCTAAATACTAATGCAAAGAATGTTTTAAAAAATAAAACAATATTTTGCTATTATATATGTTAAGAGATGTAAAATACTAGTTTTAAAATTAGTATCATTAAAATTAAATCAGAGCAGTTTCAGGACACAATATTTGTGGTTGTAGAAATTATTTTTCTTCACTTTTTCTGTTTTCTAAACAGAAAAAAGGAATACATCGTTGTACAAAATGCAGACTACAGTTTTTAACATGCAAAGAGAAAATGGATCACAAGACTCAGCATCATCGGACATTTATAAAACCTAAACAACTAGAAGGATTGCCTCCAGGAACAAAAGTGAGTTCAAATATGCTGTATTTTAACATTTTGTATGATAATAGACACTCCTGCCTGGTTTTATTTATTGAATAGAATACTTTAAAAATGATTTCTGATTTAATTAAGACTTTAATTTTAGGTTTTACCATTCCTATGTTTAGGAATAAAACTTCTAACCATTGCTTTTTGGTCAGTAGTGTGTGCAACTCTAGAGTGGTATTCCTTTGTAAAAAGTATAGCTAGATTAACTGTTCCAGGGTTAATGGGTTATGTCAATGTTACATAGGCTATTTTGGAGCTATTCCAGTTGGCAGTGTATATGTCATTTTTATCTGTTAAACTGTAAGATGCTTGAGATCAGGAATCATGTTTTATTTATCTTTGTGTCCTCAGCATCTGGTATAGTGCCTTGAATGCTGTAGGTTCTCAGATGTTTATTGAAATTGTTATTACTGAGTCTACTCTCAGAGAAGCAAGTTCTGCTGCTGGATAGCATTATGTTTTAAGTGAGCAAACACATGTCTGACTGCATACTGATGATTGTAATTTACTTTTCCCTTTTTGCCTTATATACCTCTGTTTTTTCTGACTTCTTTATACACAGTCAGCTCTTGAATATTTGCTCCAGTGGAGGGAAACAGAGGCATGGATAATCCAAAGTGAAATAATCCCCAAAACATTTATATTTGGCTTTGGGTTCTTACCTTTGAATGTGGGTATGTCTGTTATTTGAATTAACTAAAACAATATAAAGCCATGCTCTGAAGACCTAGAGCAAGAGAAGCTATCCAGCATCCTTCCCTGCAATCCATTCATTCCATGCTGGGACTAGACATGCAGAACACTAATGTAAGCAGTGCAGTCCTCTCTCATATTTTCCCTTAATAATAATAATAATAATGATACTAAATGTTTTTATAGCACCTTAGAATTAGGCTTTTGTTATGTTTATTCATATATTCTATTATTTAATCCATATAGTAAGCCAGTGAGGTAGACGAGGGAAGTATTGTCCCTTATCATAGATAAAGAAGCTTAGAGAGGATGTTACTGATTCAGGGTCACATGGCTAGAAAGGAGTGGTATTAGCTTTAACCTCAGGTCTTTTGATTCCTAGTCCAATGCCTTTGTATGATACTAAAGCACATGTTTTTCATGGTACTTCCTCATAGGCTGTGTGGGGGTGTATAATCAAATGATTAATGAGAAAGTTGGAGCAGTTGTGTTTTTCATTGTCAACCAGCAAATATAATTTCTTAATACCAAATGTTAAGTCTTGTATTAGCTTCCTTTAAGGAAATTCTGAGTATTATTAAACTCGCCCTGCAGTATAGTGAATTGATATAACCCCTCACATAACCTTTGTAAACATAAATCCTGCCCAATGAGCCCCTGGAAAGAAGTCACATTTACTGTAGATCTCTTTGTTTTATAGTTGTCGAAGGGTAACACAGTCCTTTCTAGGCTTTGAGATTTAAATTTTGACCTCTGTGTTTGTGAATTTTTAGTTATATCAGAGCATAGAAATAGCTATGGAATGTGCTATTTTAATATTCATATAATTTGCTTTAACTCCTAATTATCCATTAATAACTCTTAACATATAACTGATATCAGTACAAAAATGTAAGATTACAAGTGAGTAAATATCAAGTTTAATTTCATTTAATTGATATGAACATTTAGAATAAATGGAAGACTTACCAGTTACAGTTTATACTTGCCCTTTCCAAAAACTTGATGTTTAACTTTTCGTTATGCAGTGATATTTTAACAGTAATGCAGTGATTAATTTTCTAAAGCAAATATTATCTTCATTTTTGTAGGTTACTATTCGAGCTTCAGTTGGCCCTCTTCAATCAGGATCTTCAACTACACCTACCATTAGTGCAAGCACTTCTACCCTTCAGCTCTCACCTCCAAGGACTAAAAATATAACTGCTAAAAATCCCACAAAATCTAACACAAGTAAACCTAATATAACTAAATCCATTGCAAGTAAACCTAATGCAAGTAAGCCTAATGGAAGTAAATCTAAATACAAATCAAAAATACCTAATATGCAAAAGAAACAAAGCACATTGGCTAGTAGCAATAAAAAAAGTAAAGTCAATACAGCATTGAGGAATTTAAGGTAATCTTTTATTCTTGATACACAATACTAATTTAATCTTAAGTATAAAAACTTTATTTAATATAAATTTACCCTATTAAACAACTCTCTTGTACATTTATACGCTGTCACTTAAGGCCAAGCAAATAATAAAAAATATTTTTTACAACAGTTGAACAGTACTTGAATTACTGTTTTTCTATAATATTCATTTATTACACTGGTGTTTTATGTTGTGCTTATATCTTGTGATGTTTGAATTGGTTAATTTAACCAATTGATTAATCCCTTTTTTCCAGTAAGAAACATTAGCTGATATTAGATTTTTTATACTTATTCTAGCTGCTGTTCCATAGCAGATTTTTCAAATAATAAGTCTCTGTTTGAAGATGTTAATTTAAACATCTTAGCTTTAATTAACAGAAAATTAATAAGGTGGTCCCTTATTATTTTTGTTTTAAAATATATTTTTATCATTTTCTTTATATCTCTATAAGGTGTCGTCGGGGAGTTCACAAGTGCATTGAGTGTTGTTCTGAAATAAAAGATTTTGCAAACCATTTTCCTACATATGTCCACTGTAGTTTTTGCAGATACAACACTAGCTGTAGCAAAGCCTATGTGAATCATATGATGAGGTAAGATGAGTTAAACATCTATAATTACCAATTAAAATTACAGTTCAGCAAGTTTGTTTTTGAAAACAGTTATCCTATTAGAAGTCAGTTTTTCTCGTCTAAGAAAACTTCTAAGATGATTCATGGCACTATTTTTCGGCATAGTAATTCATGAAGTTCCTGGAAACTCGAATTTTAAGAACAGTTAGACTAATGAAATTAGGATAGGTTTGTTAGGGAAAATAGTTTTTCTATGGGAATTTTTTTTCCTATAGAACTTTCAAACATGGTTACTTCCAAAGACAGAAAAGTAAATGTTTTAAGTATATTTATGAAACAAATACATGTAATCTCATGAGTGTTATTCTCTTCAAAGCAGTCACTTTGAGAGATTCCAGGGTTTTCAGTGATGTTAGAAACTTCATTGAGTCTGTTTCTCTCTCTCTTTTTCTCTGTAATGCATCTGTCTGTCCATCCATCCATCAAGCCATGTCTCCTTGCATTCATTCAGTGAAATGAGAGACTATTTCAGTCATGATGCCATTGTTGGAATTATTTTTCTTTAATTCATTCAACTTAGATAATTAGAGTATTCTATGCAGAGAGAGCCTTCATAGCCTATGTTATCTTCATTTGTATCTCATTAGTTGGGGCATCCTTCAGGATGGATTTTTATTTTTTAAAAAATAGTCAAAAATTGGGACTTCCCTGGCAGTCCAGTGGTTAAGACTCTGCGCTTCCAGTGCAAGGAGTGTGGGTTCCATCCCTGGTCAGGGAACTAAGATCCCACATGCCACGTGGCGTGGCAAAAAAAAAAAAAAAGAAAGAAAAAAATAGTGACAGATTATGAGGATAAAACATTTAAAAAATAAATAAATAAAATTTAAAAAAATAGTCAAAAGTTGTTCAGATATAAGCCAGTTAGGTTGATTATTCAAAGTGAGGTTCCGTTTTTTCAAAAGTTAGAATATGATTAATAAAAGTGATTTTCTTATAGATCAAAACATGACCTCTGTGTTACTTTCTGGTCATTATCAGGTACTCCTTTCAAGGACTCTCCCACGTTTCTTGATGGCTCCGGCACCTCTCTCACAGTTTTTTAACCCCCTTGATGACTAGCGTGACATTATGGTAACTTGACTTCTTTAGTGCCAGTGCTTTACATCACCTTTAGACTTGTACCCCCTTTCTTACCACAGTACTATTTTAATCTTGTCATATATACTGTTCATTTCTTTTGAATTCCCATTTCCCAATGACTTTCTGGGCTTTGAGTTCTTTTTCCAGTCCAGCAGCACCTATCTAACTATAGTCATCCTCACCCTCAGGGTCATCTGTTTTGATTGCTGCTTTGTTTTTGTTCTAGAATCCTTTACACATTTAGTCATGCTTACCTGGCATAAAGGCCAAAGACTTGACCATCTTCTTCTGAACTTTATGCTCAATTCTAGACCCCCAAATAGTGCTTGATTCAATCAACTCTGACTCATGATCTTTAACTTGAATTGGGTCCTATCTTTTTATTTTTAAATACTTCTTTATTCTTACCTACAGTATCTGATTAAACATTTTTTTGGTACTCTAAAGATTTTATTTTGGATTCTCTTAGTTATTAACATGGCCTACAAATACACAGTTCAAGGTCATCCTTTTAATTAATCTTTTCAGCCTCAAATTTTTTTCCTGTTACATTTATCCAGGCATTAATCTCAGAAATCAAACATGTTCTACTTCTCCAAAGTTAACCCTACCCCTTATCTCCTCTAGTTCTTCCACAACTTCATTCAGTTAATTTGCAACTTCATCTTCTATCTACCAGGTTTCTTCTGCTTACAGATGATTTCAGGTATTTTTTTTAAGATGAGGGAGACTTGTCCTTACTCCCTACTTTCCTTATCTCTTGTCTTCTTATTACCATGAACATTTGTAAAAAGTATTTGTTACTAGCATATTCGTGATTCATTTCTTTACCTTTTAATTTGAGTATCATCCTCACCTACCAACTAACACTGCCCCTTTAAAGATTATCAAGTACTGATCCCCGTATTTATTCACTTTTTTTCACTCTTACTACTCTATGACTTCTTTAGAGTCATTGTTGTCACTCACTTTTGAAACTGTTCTCCTCAGCTTGTGTTTAACCGTTACCACTATTTTTCTTCTTCCTTTTTGCCTACTCCTATTCATTGCCTTCCTTCAGCTCTTCTCGCCTCCTTACATTTCCTTTCTTCGTAATGTAACCACTGTCACTTTTACCTTTCAACTTTGAATCTTCCAGTTTCATTCCTTAGTTTTCCTGAGATCTAACTCTGTATTTCTAATTATTTCGTGTTTTGTTTTGTTTTTACCTTTGACTCATTGGCATCTAAAAAGAACCTAAATAAACCAAACATTATCATCTTTCCAGAATTCACTTTACTACCATCCAATACTCTTTCAGGGCATCATTTGTGTGAATGTGGAATACCAGCTGGAAAAAATTCACTGTTGCAAGTATCTTAAGCTTGTGAAGTTCCCTTGATCTGCCACTGTGCATCATGGCTTCCTGAGACAGCACCTTCTGCATTCTGCCTCTCTGCCTCCCACCTACTACAGTGGACTACACCCATAATCCATTTCCTCTAAACCAGGCCCCGGCCATCCTTTCCCAAGTGTACTTCTTTGTGGAATGTCTCTTGTTCTTTGACAAATGTATGGCTCCCCAAATACGGCCTTAATTCTGCCCTTAGTTTATAGGGGAGCAAATCGGAAAATATTTTGTGTTTTCCTAAGCCAAGGGTCATTCTACTCTTCCCTTTCCCATTATCATAGGCTTCTCATTTGTCCTATAAAACCTCCACATCCATTCTATTCTAAAACATTCCCAGTTAGCCCAACTCCCTTCTACCCTTATCCCAATTCCCAGTGAGCCCCAACCCTGCACTTCATTGTCAGGACACACAATCTTACTCATGGTTAGCCTCATGTGGAACTGAAAGCTTCCACTGCCACTCTTAGGGTTTGGTAAATCACTTTTCCTTTTTCTCTACTTCATATGTACCCTTGCCTCACTCACTGCCTTAGGTATCTCCCATTGAATGGCCCAACCACTACTTCTTCCCAGTGTGAATTCTTGTTACAGGCTTGAGTTTTATATGTACAGAAACTTCATTTTCTCCAGAGGATGAGTCCCTTAAATCCCTATCCCATACTACCTCTGTACTCTCAATTGGTCTTTTCCCCTCCAGTCTCAGACTGCTCTTCTCCAGAATAAACTTTCTCCCATACTCATTTTTGACAAGTGGCTTTTCCTTATTCTTTGTTAGTCCCTGGAATACCTCTGTCCTTCCTTTCACTTTACCTTCTTTGAAGTGTCTGATCACCACAACCACTCACAGGGATCATTCCTTGCTTTGAGTTGTGTGCCATTCATCTGTTCTGCCTTTTGTTATGTTTGTTTGTATGTGTATTATCTCCTCGAGAAGAAGGGGCTCTTTGTATTTACCATGTCACCTAGCACATTACAAACAGCAAGTGAGAGTCATTATTGTAATTATAAAAGAAAGCCTCTAAATAAAATCTCAAAAGAGGATATTAAAAAATCTTATGCAGTTGGAGCATTTTTGGAATAAGACTCTTACAAAGAAGAGCATCATTAAACATATAATTTTTAAGTGATTTTTTAAAGAAGTAGCATTATTTGGGTTTGGTTGTTTAAATTATTGCACCCTGTTTGCTTATAGCCTTTAGGTAGCAGTAGAAGTCACCTGAAAAAATGAAAATGCATTACTGTGTAATATTGCTATTATTCTTCAACATTATGTATAAGAAAGAAGGCTTTTTTCTCTACATGTAATAGAATTAAGGTAACAGCCATAAGTACCTAATATCTCTTTTTGTAGCAGAGCTTACTGTTTGCTAAGAAGTGTGGTAAGCTGGTGGTGAAGAATCTGACAAATCTGGATTTGAAACCAAGCTTCACCATTTATTTATTACATGTGTGACTTTGGGCAAATTACTTAACTGATTCCCATTTTCCTTTTCTTGAAGAGAAAGTTACTGTGATTATTAGAGGAAATGTACTTAAAGTGCTTAATAAAATGATTTGCACTTAGGAGATATTCAAGTAATTTTAGGTATTATTTCTAAATTGTCATTATTCAGTATCGTAAAGTCCTTGCCTTTAATTTTCACAATTTAGTAGGAGAGATATATTTACCTAGCTTAATGTGATAAACAAATGACTGTGAGAGCCCAGAGAAGGTAACGATGAATTCTTTAAACAAGAAATGAGAAGGTATTGTATAAATGACATTTCATTTAGGCTTTGAAGGATGATTTAAAATTTTTCCAAGGAAAAAGAAAGCTGGTATAACAATTTGTTCCTATATAATAATAAGACAGATTCCTGAATTAATTTTTATAGGATATGCTTTAGTTCATTATATTTTTTATATAGATTTATTGGCACTAAATAATAGTCATTAGAAAAACAGTTAAGGTTATTGTGATGGCATCATAAATGGTCTTCTGTCCACAACCCACCCCTTCGGCCCTTTTGCATTTCTTCCTTTCTTTTGTTACTAATATCTGGTCAGGATATTTTTTGGCCTAAAATCCTTTACCTTCCTAATATTAATAGGATGAAGTTCAAATTTTCTGGAGAATGTAAGACCTTTTAATATCTAATTCCTAACTACTTTTCCAAGAGCCTTCAACTCTTATTTTCTTTGCTTTGCCTGGAGTAAGTCAGTATATGGAGCTTCCTAACTGAAATGTACTACTAATTGTGCTGACTTCTCCATTTACCTGCAGCTTTCCCTCATGCAACCACAAAACTGTGTGTGTGTCACTGTTGATGTTTATCCTGTGATAATGAATATATATTCACTTGTTTAGCATATGTTTATTAGGCATTTATTCTGTGCCAGATGCTTTTTGACAACCTTCCCCCCCCAAACCCTGGACCATGAACTCTAAGGCAAACAACCTGCTTTATTGTATCATCAACCTCCAGTTTGGTGTCTTAATAGTAGGCATACTGTCAATATTGTTGCATACTTTTGTATTTTTTCAGAGGTAAACTTTTTACTTGTATCAAAGCAAGATGGTCAAAGGGAGTTTTTTTTGCCTCTAGTCTTATTGAGGTATAATTTATATACAATAAAATTCATCTATTTTTAGAGAATAGCTTAATGAGTTTGGTAATTATGTATATATAGTCTAAGTAGATGGTGAATTTTCAAAACCTAGATTTTAATGTTATGTTTTACTGTATCGTAATAAAAATCTTAACCTTTTTTTTCTTTTATTAGATTATTTCCCTATTGTTATTAACTTTACACAGGTCTATTAGGAAGAAGAAAGGTAGTTTTTTTTTCCCTCTGTTGGTGAGCTACAGATCCACTTTTCCATTCCTATAATACACAAAACTAGAAGAATGGAATTTGTGTAATAAATATAAATAAAATGACAGTATAAGTCTTTTTTTATAGGTAGGGAACTCTAAATTAAAACTGGATTCAGACAACTAAAATTTTAAAAGTACCAACATTTTAATAAGGTGCAAGTTATAGACAGAAATGGAAGCCATCAAAAGACCCTAAAACGTAATTTTTTCCTCTCCTCTTACCAAATAAAGAAACCGAAACAGTCTGTTGAGAAGGAAGAAAGAGCTTTTAAAAGTTACTTTTAAATCTCATTAAAAAAAATAATTTACTTGGTTCACATTATTTGGGAATCAGATAAAATCTGGGACACACTCTGAGGAAATACAGTTATGTGCACAAATTTTTGCATATTATTTCAGTGGTTCCCAACCTCTTGATGGTTTCTTCCTAAAAAAACGATTCAATTATTTCGGTCATGTTATGCTGAATTTATAAACTCTTTAGTAGTAGTTATCCCCAGATTGAAGAAATCAGTATTAAAAATCTTCTGAGAATGTTCTCTGGGGATTATAACTGGTCAGATATTTCTTTTCCCATACATACATGCTTTGCTGGTGATGGTTGCCTTGTATCTGAGACTTAGAATTGATTTGGTGTGTTGGCTACTTTAGGTCTATCATTGCAAGCTGCTGCTCCTCAAACTTTAGCTTGCGTAAGAATTACTGAAAAAGTTTGTTAAAACAGATTCCTGGGCCCCACTGCCAGAGATTAATTCAGTTGCTATGTGGGAGGGTGGGGGTCACAAGACTTTGCATTTCTAAATAAGCTCCCAGATGATGCTCGTGTTACTAGTCTATGACTCCACTTTTATCTGTGTAGTACTGTGCTAAGCCGATCCTGGTTTTCTAGTATAGGAAAGCTTTCCTTATCAGATTTAAAAGGGTGTGTAAAAGCTATCAGCATCAGCTACAAAGCTTGGTTAGGGGTTTTCTGTTCTGTGCTTAGGGGAAGCATTGTTTTAGCTCAAGAGTTCTGCTTTAATTTGTTTTTTTTAAAAAAACCTCTACTAGTAATTGCAAAGAATTCTAAATGTTTGATTTTACAAATGCCAACAGTGGCATTTAGCTCAACTACTGTTAACTTCCAGGATAATTTGGAATCTACTCCCCTTCCTCAACACAAACATGTTAAGTTAGTAAAGGATTTTTAAAATGATTCTTATTGGTAACCATTCATATTATAGCAAAAATGTTATTAGCAAAACCTTTAAATTGTTTTCAACTCTTAACAGTTGAAGAAAATAATTTGACTTGCTTTACTTTTTTAAACTCTTGAGTATTTCCTTTTTTTATGTGAGGGTGAGGTGCTGATTGTATAAGAATATGCTTAGTGAAATACATTTCACTAGAAAATAAATAGATAAATAAGAATGTAAGCTAAAATGCTGAATGAAACAGGGATGATGAACATTATATTATTATTTATATCATAATATTTTATTCAAAGCTAGAGATTTAATTATAGACTTGATATATAGCTAATAAATTAATATGACTTACTGTATAGTAAAATTAATAAAATCTGTTTTGTCTCTCCCAGCTTTCATAGTAATCGTCCAAGTAAAAGGTTTTGTATCTTTAAGAAGTATTCAGAAGATCTCAGGTAACTAGTTGATCTTTTAAATTTTTTTCTATTGAAAAATTATATGACTTAAATCTTTTGTATGTAACATTTTTATTGAGATACAGTTCATATACCATGCAATTCACACATTTAAATTACACAATTAATAGTTTTTCGTATATTCACAGAATTGTGCAGTTACCACAGTTAATTTTAGTACGTTTTTATCACTTTAAAAAGGCACTCTGTACCCGTTAGTGGTTATCTCCATTTCCTTCCAATTCCTTTCATCCCTAAGCAACTACTAATCTACTTTCTGTCTATTTAGATTTGCCTATTCTGAACATTTCATGTAAATGGAATGATAAAATATGTGATCCTTTGTGATTTGTGTCTTCCATTTAGCATAATGTTTTCAAGATTCATCCATATTGTAGCATATATCAGTGCTTCTTTTTCTTATTGCTGAGTAATATTCCATTGTATGTATATACGATAGTTGGTTTATCCATTTAGGTTATTTTAACTTTGAATCTGTTATGAATATTGCTGTTGTGAACATTTGTGTACTCATTTTTGTTTGGACATGTCTTTTCATTTTTCTTTAGTATATATCTAGGATTAGAATTGCTGGGTTATATGGTAACCCTATGTCAAGCCTTTGAGGAACTGCCAGAGTGTTTTACAAAGTACCTGATTGGTCTATATTCTCTCGCTAAATTTGTTTCAGGGGTGACCAATGGTGTCAAGATGAAATCTTCATGTATTTACACTGTAAAATGAGAACAAAAATAGGGCTGTCCAACAATATTTGATTTAAAAAAAGATACCTAAAATATGTAGTAAAGTGACTAACGCTTTTTCAGTTTTGAAGTAAATTTCTTAAACCACTAGAATTCTTGAAATTAGTATGTAGTCTGTATAATTCTTTTTCCTTTTCAAATTAAGAGAAGTGTACAACTTGCTTACTGTGCAGAAAGAACTGTTGATGAATATTTCTGAAGACACTGAGAATTTGGTTTTACCACACACTTAACTCAGAATTCACTGAGCACCATGTTTTTCATATTCTTCTGAATTCTTTAGACCCCACTGCTCTTTATTTTTGCTCATGTCGCCTTTGCTACCTGAAATATCAGTATGTTTGCTGCACCAAGCTAATCTATACAGATAAGGTTAACCAATAGTTGTTTTGATATTTTGGGTTAGTGGAAAAAATGGAAGAGGGGATGATATTATGTCTCAGGACCTTTGTACTTATTATTCTCTGTGACTAGTTTGCTCTTTCCCAGATTTTTGTATGATTAGCTCCGTTATCTCCTTTGGGTCTTTATTCTGATGAGTGAGCCTTTCCTTGACCACTTGATTTAAAATTATATCCTTTCTCCTGTGCTTTACCCCAGTGCTCTTTATCTCCTTTTTATGCTTCATTTTTCTCTGGATCATCTTTTATCATCTCATTCACTGTATATTTTGTTTATTTTCTGTGTCCTCTCACTAGAATGTGTGTGGTTTGGATTTTTGTCTATGCCAGGCATTGATAGTGATTAGGCACCCAGTAAATATTTGTTGAATAAATTAATGTATGCATTGAAAATGACTTATGTGGACAATAGGTCCCATCTATGATGTTGGACCAGTAGCTCACAGGGAGAGAAAAATTTGGTTCAGTTTTAAAAATATATTAGTACTAATTTTAAAACATTTACTGAATTCAAGGAAATAGATTAAGCTACATTAGAGGTTGCCTATACTGAAAATTTTTATAAGAATGAAGAGTTTTATTGCATTCAAAAGATGAGATTTTTGATTTTCACCTCACTGTTGTTAAGCTCAGTTGTGTGTTTGGTTTTAAAATGAATCATATGATTTTAAACCTCCGGGATGTTTTTCTCTCAACTTGAATAAGTCTCAGATTGAAAATTTGCCTATTTCTGTGAATGGAACATAGAAACTTATAATTGTATAGAACAATAATTTTTGTAATTATTCTTTTATTGGAATGGAATATTTGTTCTTTAGCTATTTACTGTGTATCTACTAGGTCTATAATGTAGCAGATCCTGTAAAGATAATAGTAATAATGAAGAAGTCTTGGAACCAACCTTCAGAGAATGTACATTTTATTGGGTGGGAAATAAGAGGTGAATGTAAATAACCACAATAAAGCAAGAGGGATTTTAATAAGTGCAATGATGGTTGGTTTTTTTTCAAAGGAGAGCGAGATTACTTTACTTGGAATGATCTACATAGGTGTTAGTTTACTTGGCTTTAAAGGATTTGTATTGTTTATACTGATAGAAGAGGTACAGGTGCATTTGAGTTGGAATAACATGAATAGAGGTGCAGAAATGAAAAAGTTGAAGGCGTACAGAGGGGGAATGGTAGTAGTAAATGAATGGAGCATTGAAGTTATAGTGGTAATACTGAAATTGGGGGCAATAGTTTTGAGCTTAGAGCCAGATTGTAAAAGCGTTGAAAATAAGGCTAAGGAGTTTGGACTTATTTTGGAGGGCACTGGACAACCTTTGATGTTTTATATAGAATTGAATGAAACTGAAGGAAGGTTGAATTTCTTCTCACCTTTAACAATAGGGTGAATTATAGATGCATGAATCCTATTGATTAGGACTTTTGTGGTAGTTACGAATAATCTAGTAAGGACTTGGGTTAGAATGGTGAGATAGTATTATATCATCTTTAAGAAACTGGGCTCTGGAATGAAAGTGCTTGATTTCAAACCTGATCTTGACCTTTACCAGCTCTGTGTCCTTGGTACATTACTAAGCTAACTCCATCCTCTATTAAAAAGGTGATAAATTATAGCATCTACCTTTTATGGGTTGTTTAGATTTAGATGAGATGGTATGTCTAAAATTGTTTGACTAGCACAGAATAAGTACTTAATAAATTGTTGATATAAAATGCTTGACATACTGACTGTTTAAGGAAGAAGAGACAGAGATAACTATAGGTTGAGCTTTATTTTCAGAGGAAATGGCATCATAAGAAAGGCCAGTCAGGATAAGTTAATTTGGGAAGGAAGTACATGATTTTAGTTTTATGAAGGTCAGTTTTTTATGTGCCAGTATGACATCTAGGGGAAAATATACAGCAGACTGTTAGACTAGAGCTTTAGGGGAGAAGTTAATCTAAGGTATGTTATTTGTTTGTATTTGTATATTGGTAAAACATTTAAAATTTTAACGTATGTGATGAACTTCAGAAATGTATTTATGCTTTATTAATAAACTGACAATAACAATGATCACATTACATGATCTATTTTTTTTCCACCTAAGCAAAAATAATTTATTAGCAGGATTCCAAAGACCCTCATGGACCCCTAGAAGGAAGAGATACAGCCAGAACATACGAGGGAAACAGAAAGCCATCAGTTACTGACACGACTTCTTTCTAGTCTGACCTGCTGAAGCAGGATGATTTTGTCTGTTATTTTCTCTGGACATGAGTTCCATTCTCCTTTCTCTGTGTAGACCAGCTTTCTCTGTTGATGACCCAAACATAGTATTCCTAGCTTCCCACATTTTCCCAGATCAAGAAATGTGATTATATATCCCAATTACAAATCCCTGTTCAGAGAAGGCTTGAGTTAGACATTCCATCCCTGGTCCAATTAACTATGTCGAGTGGAATAGGCATTTAGCTACTTACCATTGAGACTACTTTTAGTGTCTGTTGAGGGCAGTTTGTTAATAGAAAAAGACTGTAATTATTAAATTTAAGTATTTAAATCTTAACTTTCCTTAAGCTTAAAAATATTCCATTTAGAAATCTAGTACATTTAATAATCACTTTCGGGACTTCCCTGATAGTGCAGTGGTTAAGAATCCGCCTGCCAAGGCAGGGGACACGGGTTTGAGCCCTGGTCCAGGAAGATCCCACATGCCGCGGAGCAACTAAGCCCGTGCGCCACAACTACTGAGCCTGAGCTCTAGAGCCTGCGAGCCACAACTATTGAGCCTGCGCGCCTAGAGCCAGTGCTCCACACAGGAGAAGCCACCACAATGAGAAGCCCACGCACTGCAAGGAAGAGTAACCCCCACTCACCACAACTAGAGAAAGCCCACGTGCAGCAACGAAGACCCGACGCAGCCATAATAAATAAATAGATTTATTTAAAAAAATCACTTTCAAGCGGGCCTTTAAATAATGTTTGATAAAGTTCATTTAAGCTGAAAAGACTAGAATTTTTTATTTTAAAGTCTCATTTACACTTCAATACCTTTAAACAATGTAACATCATTTATACATTTAATATATTTGATTTTCTTTTAAACAGCTCTTCAGATGCTTGACCCTAAGCTCCCAAGTGCTTAACTCTAATAAACATAATAAATTAAACACAGTGGCTTTCTAAGTTCTCTGAAACATTCACATATTTTTGCAGGCTTAATATTTTAAAATAAAACTCAAAGCTAAAAGTTTAAACACAATTTAAATTAGAGTCTTAAGACCAATTTTACATACCATAATACGCCAATTATGTTTAAATACTTCAAATAGCAAATGCTGCACAGTTTGATCCAATAAGCATAAAAACTATTTGTGAATTCAAAAAAAATGTATTGATGACTATGGGAATTGCTTTCTAACCTTTTTGAAAATTTGTAATCATTACATATTTAAGAACTACAGTACTCAGTGAAGTTTTGTTAAGGGAACAAGTAGTTTAGGTCCAGGCAAATGGGCCAGTTCAGAGTACTGGGATGCTGAGGAACTCAGACTTTGGACTTCAATAGTGAATTAGCTACTTCAGTTAATTCAGTGTTATATGAGAATAATACCAACCTTGGATGCTTGTGGTGAGAATAAACTAAATAATATATAGGAAAATCTTTAACACATAGTATACAATGATAGCAGCTACGACAATGATCTATTTTTAAAGCGTTCACATTTCTAATTTTTTCCTCACCTAGAAAACACTAGATAAATGTTCCATTAGAGCACAGACTGTATTTTTTGGTCGTCATTGTATTCACAATACAGTACACTAGTAGTACAGTATGTGTAACGACAGCCTTAGTAAATATACACTGACTAATGTATATATTGTGCATTTATATATACTGAACTCTTGTTTTGCAGATGGGCATAGGCACAAATAGACTGTGACTTGTCAAAGTGACCCATGTTGTTAGTGGAGCCAAGACTGGACTGTAGGTCTCTTGACTCTTAGTTTTCAGTAACTGGTATGAGAGAGAAAAGTTTATAAAGCAAAAATACTTTCTGTAAATAAATGGTAGTATAATTTGAATATGACTATGACATTTTCTAGAGAATCATTTCAGTTATATCAAGTTTATGTAACAAAAATTGGAATGACAGTTATGACACAAAAAGCAAATCACGGAAAAGTATTCATTGAACTGGTGTGTGGATTTTCATAAAAGATAAAAACATTTTCTTTTATACTATTTGCTTTGTTTTTTATAGGGGCATTACTCTAGTGTGCCTTAATTGTGATTTCCTAACTGATGTTTCTGGCTTAGATAATATGGCTACACACTTAAGTCAACATGAAACTCATGCTTGTCAAGTTGTAATAGAGAAAGGTACGTATATAAAATTGTTTTACTTTGGATTTTTGATATTTATTCCGGTATTATTGGTCAGCCACAGTATGTGCTCTTTACTAAATCGTTTTTCTCACTCATCATTATTTCATATGCTGTTTTAAATATAATACTTTTCTTCTAATTTCAGTTTCTGTTTGTATCCCAACTTCTGAACATCTTTCTGAGTAAGTGTAATTTTTATTCAGTGCATTTTACTTTGATGGATTTTAGCACTATTGCATTTTTAAATGTATCATTAACAGAAATGAAAAATATTAAAGTATTTTGTGTTTTTTTTTTGTTTTTTTTTTTAAAGCTGCTTGTTGAAATAGGTTCCTGCTCTATGGAGCTCGTGACCTGGTGCAAGACAAGTTGGAATTTCCTAAGTTCAAAGTTCTGAGATGTTTTCTTACACAAAGGCAGTTAAGCAGCCAAGTTCATGACACTAGCTCTCATTATTCAGCTCTTTTCAGCTTCAAATGGGACTAGATTCTTATTCCACCTTATCTTTGTGTCAGGTTGACATATCTTAACATACGTTTTTTTTTCTCCAGTTGGCTCTCTCCAAAAATAACTTTTGTTGCTGTGGTCATTTCTTACTTTGCTTAAAATAATTTGTGTTTTTCTCTGCTGTACTGGACTTCAGAATAATATGTTCCAAATGATATGGCTGTTTGTCTTTTTGTCTGTTTTGTCTGCTTTCTTAATTTCTTATAAGTCTTAAGTTTTTTAGGCCAGATGATTGTCTTTTTCCTCATTCGTTGTCTGTCATTGTGCTATTTTTCTTATTTTTCAGATGGAGAAGCAGCCCAGAGATTTCAAAAAATGTTCAGGGTACACCTGGACAGTGTCCCCCTTCGATGGACACAACTGATGCCTGTTCTCTCTTTCCAAGGAATGTGACTAATTTGACTGTGGGACCTGCTCTAGGTTGTGGTCTCAGGAAATCAGATCTTGGGGAGACTCCCTTCTCTCATGGCTGGCCTTCCATGAGGCTGATGTTGATATAGCCAGAGATGGTATCAAGGCCCACCAAATAGAGCACAGCTTCCCACTGGGGGCTTTGGCTTTTGATCTTAAGCTCGTGGGTCACTTCTGGCCAAGAAAATCAAATCTGTGCTTCAGTGTCCCAGTTGAAGTTTAGTCATTTTGGCTGCTTCCCTTTAATCTTCCTCTAGCATGAATGCATCCAAGGAATACAAAAGCTCCGGTTATTAGGAAATGGTTATTTTTCATATCCTTGGAACAACAGGTCCCTACAATTATGTTCCAAAATTTCACTTATTTTTACTGTTATTTAAAATGTATTACCCAGGAGTAACTTCATAGTTTTTTAACAGCATCAATTATCAGATTTTTTATTTTTAAAAAATTTAGTTTAATTTTGATAGCTTGGTTTTATGTTCTCCAAATGTATTGATGTCTATTTTTATATTCTTTTCTTTAAAACTGTTGTTTAGTGTTTGCTTTATTTTGTTAAGAACTCCAAGATATTCCCTAGAATTCTCTACAGATTTCCTATAGCTGCTTATTTATAGCTTTTTAATTTGGCTGTTGTTCAGACCGTTAGACATGATTATATCCATTCTTATTTCGGGATTATTATTATTAATATTATCTTAATAATTGTGAGTTCTAAGGTGTAAAGAATTGACAAAACCTATTCTTGGAGACCTTAAAACAAGGTTTTTTAAAAATTTAGTTTTATTTTTTTATACAGTAAAACAAGTTTTAAAGTTGCATATTTGTACATCTAATACATAATACCTACTTAGCTATTAATAGTTCCTTTGGGTAGTGGTAACATTAAAAAAATATAAGGGCCAATAATGCACTTGTTTCTATCATATATAAAACATATTTCCACATATATATATTTTTTAAAGTTGACATTTGTTTATTTTAGTTACATTGACTATAGCTCTAATAAACAGTTTTGATGCTATTATTTTGTTTTAATAAAAATTCTGTTGTTTAAGTGCCTCAGGAATTATTTACTAATAAAGAATTTCATATGAAAGCTGTAGATTTAATCATATAAATAGGAGCATTGCCTTTATTGTTTCATGGAAGCCCTATTATTTGGCCTGCACACTGAGAGCTGTATCTACTTAGTGCGTCTTGCTTTTTTTCCTCTGGCACAATTGAAAGGTCACTGTTTATACTCTACCAACTTATTGAATTTTAATGACATGTAAAATACCTTTTGTGATCTTAGTTGCCGTAAGGGTTAGGCAGGCTCTGGAAATATGACTCAGTCATGTTTTTTTACTCTGAAGTCAGAACTTGCTCAGTTTTACTTTGAAACAGATTTAAAGCCAGTATAGATGACTACTTATTATGTAATGTGCTTCTTGCAATTAATAATCAAAAAATTTGAACCCATTAGTTTTAAATTTCCAAACTAATTTCTACGGTAAATGAATAATTTTTCAAAAGCTCTGGAAGTGGCTTGTCTCTCAGTAGGTGAATTTGGTGTTATGCTAGTCTTTATTTCCTTATCTGTCTCTAGGAAGTTTTGTCATTCACCCTCTTTCTACCCAGTTTTTTTTTTAATTTAAAAATTTTGTCCAGAAACAACTTCTTTACATTTTTAACATAAGTTCCTTTTTCATTTATAGATATTTGCTCTACCTTGGCTATAGTTTAAAAATATGAGAAATTGTATTCTTGATATAGCAATGTAGGAGTACTGCTTTGTGTTCTTCCATAGGACTCTGTTTTATAGTATTATCAAGTTCATTTTCTTAAAGTTTAAACTCCTAAAGTTCTATCACCTATAACTTCCTTTTTAAAAAAATAATTTAAATAAAACACCTAAGGCAGCTAGTACAAAACTTGTTGATTATAGGCAGTTGGTCATATTTTAATTTTGTGCTAATGAGTTTTAGCTTGAGTCTAATCCCTCCTTGCCATCAGGTTATTCTAAATAGTTTATTCACCTGATCAGAAATTGCCATTTCATGCATGTGTGCTTTTGGTTACCACTGAAAAAAAAATGAGATTGGTTCAGTTTAAGTCCATCGCTCTTTTGAGAAAAAAATGACTGCTAAACTACAGAGACTTGGATTCTTGCCATTTTTATGATATTTTGGCATAACTCCTCACCTCTTTGGGCTTCATTTGTTTATTCAGCAAATATTTCTTGAACATCTGCTTTGTGCCTGGCACCCTTCTAAGTGCTAGAAAAATGGACTGAAATCTCTGCCCTCACAGAACGACCATTTTAGTGGTGAAGGACAGACAATATAAAGTAAATAAAGTATATAGTATGTTAGATAGTCGTCAATACTATGGAGAAAACATAGGGAAGGGGAATAAGAAGTACTGGGTGGGAGTTTGGAGGCTGCCATTTAAAATTTGGTAGTCAGGGAAGGTCTCACAGAGAAATGACATTTGAGTAAAGACCTGAAAGAAGAACTGCATGGAGACTGGTCTGGCTGCAAATAAGTGATTAAGAGGGAGAATAGTAGGAGTTGGGGCTTGCAAGGTAATGTGGGCCATGTGTATAGGACGTTATGGACCATTGTAAGGAATTCGCCTTTTACTATGAGATAAGTAGCTATTAGAGCATTTTGAATAGAGGAGTGTTTTATACCTCAATAAAACCCACAATCAACGAAAACCTTTAAATATAGAAGTGTGTCTGTATTACCATAGCTGCTGTCTTCGGAATAAGCTGTAGAAGACCAAGGACAAAATCAGGGGGATTAATTAGGAGGTTATTGTAATAATCTAGGTATGAGATGGTGGGGATTTAGGCTAGGCTGCTAGCAGTTTAGGTGATAAAGAGTTTTGATTTGGGACCTGTTTTGAATTCGTTGATGGTTTATATGTGAAGTGTAGAAGAAAGAAAGTTTTGAGGATGATTCCAGTTATTAGTGTGAGCAACCACAAAGATGGCATTGATATTAACTGAGATAGGGAAGACTAGAAGTAATAGATTTGAGAGGGAAGATGATGACTGTGATTTGGGACATATTTTAGTTTGTGATATCTGTTAGATATGCAAGTTGAGATGTCATAAGCATTCACCTGTATGAATTTAGGGGGGTGTTCTAAGCTGTAAATATCATTTAATGTCATGGGAATAAATACAAGTAAAACTGGGGAAAACTGAGTAAGGTTGGTATATGTATCACTGTCAACATCCTGCTTATGCTTTTGTGCTATAATTTTTTACTGTTATTTTATATTATAAGATGTTATCATTGGTGAAACTGGACAAAGGGAATATGGAATCTCTCTGTGTTATTTCTTATAACTGCATGTGAATATACAATTATACCAAAATTTAAAATTCAGTGAAAAAAACTCATGGGACTATATGAGATCACCAAAGGATACAGTAGAGAGAGAGAAAGGACAGGGTCCACAGGCTGAGCTCTGGGGAATCTGACAATAAAAGGTCAGGGAGATGAGAAGGAATTGGCAAAGGAAACTGAGGAGTGGCCGATGGTATAGAAAGAAAACCAGGGGAGTGGCAGTGTTCTTGGAGCCTCAGTTACCCTATTTGTAAAATGTGAGTGCTGACTTGTTCTAGACTTCTGAGATTCTATTATTCAATATTGGTTATACTTACATTGTCATAATTTGTTCTTATGACAAGATAAATTTAGAATGCCACGTATCCTATTCCCAGTAGCAGAAACAGGGACTCTTTGACCTTGAGAAAATTAAATGTTCACATTATTTCTCAGCACATTTAACTCTTTCATAGGCTTTTGTAAAAGTAGTTCTCTTATACTTCTATTAAAGAAGGTAAGTAGGTCATTTTTTCCCAGGTTCTGTACTGTACAACTAATGTCCATAATTTATAAGTTGGGGGGAAAAGTTTCCGTGGTCAAATAAATTTAGGCAATGCAAGTTAAAGTTAAATGGATTCTTTGATATGGGCTTTTTCATGCTGTATGTGACTTGTGAATGTCTAAGAGAATATTTATTTGACCTTAGAATTTTTTTCTTTGAATACTTATTCACTTCTTAATCTCCATGGAATAGTGTGTAGAATACTGATCTGGAGTAATCCTTCAAATTTTATGAACTGGGAAATAAAAAGTAGTTGTGTAGTTTTGCCTAAGATGGATTCCTATACATTTCATTTATGTTTCTGAATCATTTGTAAGATAGTGTTTGTAACTAGAGACTAGCAATGTACATTTTTATATTTTTAGAAATTATATCA